TGCTCTCAAACGGTAAACGATCCTTTGCCTTGGTGACACTGGCTCACTGCACCTCTAACTGACTCACTGCACCTGTCATATGGCCCACAATCCATTTGACAGTTATCTCCTGCTTCGAAATTGTCTTCTCATATCCTATAGACTAGCATACGCGTATAAGGGAAGGGTATTGCTCCTGCCTTGACTCCTGGAATCCTGAAGAAAATCCTTCCATTGACTACTCCCTGACTAAAGACAAAACTACTACAAGACTTCCTATCTAACCTCCTCACTCGCAAGATCAACCCTCGTCTCTGGAAACTTCCTCGCGGGAACCTTGTTCTTAAACAAGATATCCACCTCTGCAAATGTCCGGTTCTTCGTCTCCGAGAGCCGAAAGTACGCCCAGAGAAGACTGAGCCCCATGATCCCCCCAAAGAAAAACCCACACTTGGCTCCCCAGTCCCATGCCACCTGCTGCATCATACGCGGCGCCAGCTGCCCGTACACCAAGACACCGACGTTATAGAGCGCTCGGGCGAGACCGACGCTCTTCGTCCGCAGAGCGTTTGACGGGATTTCTGTGACGATGGTGTAGATGATCGGACCAATCGTAATGAAAAACACAAAGTACTCGATCAGCAGGATGGTACCGATCCCGTATCCGATCTTGGGATGGGTCTTGCGGCTGACGATCCCCAGGAAGCCGATCAGGATAGTTGTCGCGGTCATGAAGAAGGTTCCAGACAGGAGGAGGGTGCGGCGACCCACGCGCGGGACCAGACACCACGCGACACAGACCCCCACGATGGCTAGTGCATACTCGCCGATACCAAAGTCGAAGGAGGATGAGGGATCGAGGCCGGACTGCTCGAGAAAATAGACAATGTACGCCACCAGCGGGGCGCAGAGTTCCTGGATGAGGTAGGTGAAGACGGTGATTTCCGTGCGGCGGCGATCGACCCCCCTGAACAGATCCCAGTAAGAGCTGGACGCGTTCATCTCGTCCTCGATCTTGACTGTGTGCAGCATCATGGCCAGCGTGTCCGCTATCTCCTCTTCGCTTGCGTCTTTGGTACGCAGCCGGCGGAGGGACTTGGTAGCGTCCTCGGTGCGGCCCTTGCGGATCAGCCACCATGGCGATTCTGGGGCGAGGTAAATGCCGATGGCGAGGGGGATGGGTAGAGCCCACTGCAGCGCAAAGGGGATGCGGTAGGCCCATTCGCCCGACATGCTCAGGAACCCACGGAGGACACAGGTCCCCGTGAGGTAACCGATACTCCAGGCCAGCGAGACCAGCATAGTCAGGTAGGGGCGCAGCACGTTGGGGCATACCTCGGCTGCGTAGGTGGTGGTGATCGTCTGGAAGACTCCCCAGGGTAGACCCAAGAGGACCTCCGCGCCGATGTACATGTAGATATCGGTTGCAAAGAATTGCAAAAAATAAAACACCCCATGAGGAAGAGCGAGCCCATCATTAGCCAGCGGTAGCCGAACCAGTCGCACAGCAGACCATTAAGCAGGAGACCGACAATCTCTCCAGCGTTGACTCCATTGCTGACGGCAGCTTGGAGGTTTGCTGGAACCTGGTAGGACCCGTTTTTGGTGAGAACACCATATCTCCTCTGGAAGGCCGGGAAAGCCATGAACCCGCTGACGAAGGAATGGTCGAAGCCTTCCATGATGAGTGCAGACGAGAACCAGATGGACCAGCAAACGGCCTTGGGGTACTTGCGCAGACCCTCCCTCAGGCCCATGGCGTGCTCATTGTCCGTGGCCTTTTGCGCGCCCTTGACAATGTCTTCGGCCACGACATAGTGTTCCTCGTCTTTTTCCCGGATCACCGTAACGGTGGTAGGGTCTGTCACGTCTTCCTGGTGAGCTGCCATTCTGTATGCGAAGGTATCAATCGAGCATGACCTTTGTCCAAGAAGCCAAGGGAGGCCAATCTTTATAAGCCTCGCCAAGTAGAAGCTTATGACCCTTCTCTGTGCCCATTCCTTGCGGCTTTCCGTCCTTCTCTATGGGGAAATCCGGGGATGTAGAGCCATGCATGATAGATTTTGCGGGGAAACATCCTTCGGCACAGTAAAACCCCGAAAAGAATGAGCCATAAAAGCTAATAATGCATCATCCTATATGAACGAGAGGGGTCGCGGAGATTTGTTCCTTTCCCGGGAGGAAATAGGCCGATCAAGACGACTACAAGTGAGTGGCGCACCTCTTTGTCTCGCCAGATGACCACCCCATATTAACAGAGTCAAAGTGTCCATCGTCCACCGACGGTTAATCAACAATGATAGACAATCTGCGGTGGCTGACTAACTATGGTCAGGATTCGCTGGCGGCCGGGGTCTCCTATGGTATGCCTTGGCCAAAAGGTCTGTATCAGCCTGGTCAGTCTTTTGTCATTGAAGAGAATGGTCGGGAATATGCTATAGATTCAAGAGAAATAGCCTACTGGGCAGACGGATCGCTCAAATGGACGGCACACTCGGTCAGTGGACACGTTGGGTACAGCGAGGAGTACACTGTCAAAGGCACCTCCAAATCTAAGGACACCGATGCTGGTGTCTTCATCGAGGAAGGTGATAGTATCGCAGTCACTACACGCCTTGGATTGCAGGTCAAATTCGCACGCGAGGGGAATTCGTCACTGTTCGAAAGCCTTTCGCTGCGTGGCCACGCTCTGTGTGCCGGCGCCGCACTTGTCGCGTCCGTCAATGACAAGGACTATTCGACCATTGTCAAAAAAGTTGGGGTCGAGAATGCCACGAACTCAAGAGCAGTCATCAAGCTCTCCGGGACGATGGCCTCCGAGCACCTCCCGTTCGATGTGCGCGTCTATATATACTCCGACGCGTTACCCATCAAGATCCTGCACTCTTTCGTCCACGATCTAGACGCAGATGAACCTCTAACGTCGCTGGGAATTTGTTTCTCAGTCCCTTTGGAGAATACGGAGCTCTATAACCGGCACATACGTTTTGCAGGTTCCAATGGAGGCATCCTCAGGGAAGAAGTCCAAGGACTGTCTGGACTACGACACGGTCCGACAGTCACCAACAGGATTGATCAAACAGCAGGACTGGCTGTCACTCTCAAGCAAGAAGAGTGGTCAAAGACTGATCTCCACCAAGGTCTCTCGTACATTCCATCATTCGACTCGTACACCCTCTCACAGCTATCCTCTGACGGCTTCACCATCAAGAAACGAACAAAAAAGGGCTGCTCCTGGGTCAAGGTAACCGGTGGTGGTCGCGCAGACGGAACCGTGTATCTAGGCTCAGCCAGGCACGGCGGCATAGCAGTTGGCATGTCCGACTTCTGGGAACGCTACCCGACTCAGCTTGACCTGACCGAGCTCACTCAGCGCGTGGGTGCGATCACCATGTGGCTTTACTCTCCCCTTGCGGAACCGCTCGATACTTCGCCATACCATGATGGACTCGGGCTGGACTCGTACGAGAAACAGCTGCACGCACTCGACGTCACATACGAAGACTACGAACCCGGCTTTGCCACTGCCAACGGTATCGGAAGGACGAACCAATTCTTCCTCAAACCGTACACGTCTACCCCTTCCAACCAGGAACTCAGCTCTTTCTCGGCTCTCGTTAGGAATCCTCCCCGTCTAATTCCAACAGCCGAGTACATGCACTCCACTGGCGTCTTCCACGGCTGCTGGTCACCCACCCACAAACAGCCCGCATCGCAAGAAGCCACCATCGAGCACAACCTCGACCTTTTATTCAACCACTACCAGAAACAGATAGATCAACACCGCTGGTACGGCTTCTGGGACCACGGCGACGTGCAGCACACGTACAACCCCTACCGGCACGCCTGGCGCTACGACGTAGGCGGCTTCGCCTGGGACAACTCGGAGCTCTCGACCGATCTCTGGCTGTGGCTGTACTTCCTGCATACCGGCCGCGCGGACGTCTTCAAGATGGCCGAGGCAATGACCCGACACACCAGTGAGGTAGACACCTACCACGCAGGCCGGTTCAAGGGTTTCGGCACGCGGCACGGCGTCCAGCATTTCAGCGATAGTTCGAAGCAGCTGCGTATATCCAATGTGCTCTATAAACGGATATACTATTACCTAACTGGCGACGAGCGCATCGGCGATTTGATCACCGAGCAGCAGGACTGCCAGTTCGCCCTGCTGACTCTCGACTCGCACCGCAAGGTGCAAGCGCACGCTGATATCCCCGACGGCTTCGCCATGACGAACATCGGTCTTGACTGTGGTGCACTCGCGGCAGCATGGTTGACGGCCTGGGAACGACGGACTGAGGGCTGGGAACACTGCCGCGATCTCTTGATCAAATTGCTAGACGGCATCGCGCGCCTGAAACACGGCATCGGCAACAATGCTATCCTGCTGAACCCAACCACGGGTGAGATCCGCGAATGTCCCTCGCCCACGCCCGAGTACGCCATCTCCCACCTCTCCATGCTCTTCGGGTTCCCGGAGATATTTGCAGAGCTTCTTGACTACGCGCGTGATGGGCATCCGGCTACTGTAGATAGGTTCATGGCTGTATGGCTGTCCTACTGCAAAGCGTATAATGGCGGCGCGGAAGTCCAGCGCAGGGAATTCGGGTTCGAGTTCCCGGATCATGCGACCTGGCGACAGAGTCATTCGACGCTTACGGCGTTTGCGGCTGTCCAGCTGAAGAGTGAGGAGTTGGCTCGCGCGGCTTGGGACCAGTTCTTGCATACGGATGGGTATACGGGGGATCATGACTGGAGGGTTATTGAGACTGCGCCGCCAGAGTACTTTACGCATGGGGAGGAGGCTGCTTGGATTACGACGAACGAAGCAGCGAGGTACGGCGTGTCTGCTATTTTCAATCTGGCGATCATTAGGGAGTACCTAAGATAGTTCCGTCTCCTGATGGCCTCATCTCTTCACCAATATCAATCCATCATCCCAACCTCTCAGTAACACTAAAAGCAGTCCAAACTATACAGAACTGCACATCCTCTAATTCAGTGAGAGCAGATGCAGATCATATCCTCCTCCTCTTCCGATCCCTCGCCCTCTCCTCCTCCTCATGCCACCCAACCTTACACCCTTCCTCCCCATAGTACTCCCCACAACACCCATACACAAACCCCTCAGGATGATCCTCCCGATTCTCCTCCGTGTCAATCTCCTCATCTTCCCAGAGGTCAATACCGTCCCAGTACTCCTTACCATGTACAGCCTCCTCTATAGCACATTAGCATCGCAACCCACAGTACAATATAGCATACATACCAGGATGAAAACAACAACTACCCCGCGAGTTCTCCGTAACGTCGTACTCAACCTCGCAGTTAACACACACCGCATACCGCGCCCGGATCCTGGCCCTTGCCCTCTTCTTTGACCTGAGGGCTGCGGCCTTGGGCTCGTCTGTCTCTGTGTCTACGTTTGCGTTTACTTCGGAATCAGACCCAGAGTCATCGGGCCCCGGGACCTGCTCCTCGCTCACGAGCAGGAAATCAGAGACGATTGGGAGAGCAGCCGGGAGAAGTCGGCATACGTCGCGGATGATATGCCGTAGGCGCGACGAGGGCGCGTTGAGGGCTTCGTTGAATCGTGTGACGAATTCGTCGGGGTTTGTGATGTTGAGGGTGGTCATTTTCCTAGGTTTCTGGATTTGAACAGTTTTCTGACTGGATGTGGTTGGGTTCTCGTGCTATCGAAGTGGTTATGTTTACTAGACGCGTAGATATATTGATGTTGTGGTCTGGTCTTGGCGCTATGGACTGGTATGGAGCACCGATCTACGGGATCTCCTACTGATATTGGTACTCTGATAGAGATCTATGGTGTAGCGTGGACTGAAGATGATTGCCATCGCGCTCAGACGCGAGGACGGAGTATCATTTTGTAGCTATTATACTAGCTGGGCCCATTCCAGCAATGCAGGCAAAGTTCTATATGTCTCCCATACATTGATCCACGTTACTCTTTAGTCTGCCAAACGCCGGAAACAAACACGAAATAACTAACTCAACAACTAGCTGATGCCTTTTACCGGCATCAGCCCGCCAGCCCCATCTCAATCTAATGGAGGGGGATCTTCATCTCGCGGTGGCTCAGGTCGTGGCGATCCTTGAACACCTCGGTGATCTCCTCGAGACAACCGGCAGAGGCAGCGAAGAAGCCCAGGAAGGTCTTGCTGGGCGCAAGCACTCGGCTGAGATACTCGGGGTGGAATTGCACACCGACGAACCACTTGTGGTCCTTGAGTTCGACAATCTCCATACGCTTGCCGCTGTCGTCCTTGCCGACAAAGGTCAAACCAGCCTGTTCGAGCTGGTCGACGAGTTCGGGGTTAACCTCGTAACGGTGACGGTGTCTCTCCCAGATCTCCTGCTTGTCTCCGTACAGCTTCCGCAGACGGGACCACTCGGTGCCGGGCTGGAAGTGGGTGGCCCGCTTGCCGAGTCGCATGGTGCCTCCCATCTTGGTCTTGTCGATCTCAGGCATGTAAACAATCGCAGAAGGCTCGCAGTTTTCGTGGAACTCCTCACTACCAGCCCCAGTCAATCCGCACACATTGCGAGCGTACTCAATAACGGCCACTTGCATACCCAGGCAAACACCGAGGTAAGGGACATTGTTCGTACGAGCCCATTGGGCACTCTTGATCATACCCTCGGTACCACGCTCGCCGAAACCGCCCTGAACATAATATTAGAGTCATTCTTAAAATAGATACGGAGGAAACCTACAGGAACCAGAATTCCGTTGGCGGTTGAAACCGAGTGCCACGCCTTGTAGTACTCGGCAGGGTTTGTCTCCTTGTGCTCGTCCTCCAGGTGAGAGGACTCGACCCAAATGAGGTCAAGCTTCTTCTTACAATGCATGGCAGAGTGCTCGAGCGCCTTGCTCACGCTCATGTATGAATCATGCAAAGTGGTGTACTTGCCGACAAGGGCGATAGAGACGGTCTCAAAGACACGGTCCTGGCTAATGGCAAGACCTTGCCATTCCTGCCAGATCACCTTGCCGTGCTCGATGAGCTTGGGATCCTTCGGAACCGAGTCAATGTGCAACAGTTCCTTAATGGTGTTGAGGAAGCCCTGCTTCTCCAAGAGAATTGGCACCTGATAAGTGGTCGACACGTTGTGAACTCCGACAACCTGATCCCGCTCCACCTGGCAAGCATTGGCGATTTTCTGGATAGTGCTCTCTTCAAGAGGAGTTTCGCAGCGGCAGGCGATCAGATCCGGCCTGAGGCCAGCACTGCGAACATCGCTAATGGCTCTCTGGGTAGGCTTGGTCTTTTGCTCCGAGCCGATCAGAGGGACGTAGCTGACGTGGATCTCCAAGAAGTTGTTCTTGCCGGCCCGCCGTTGGAGCTGACTCATCGCCTCCACAAAAGGTGCGCTTTCAATGTCTCCAACAGTACCGCCCAACTCGATGATGCAAACGTCGGGTTCTCGCCCTGACTCGTCCACGGGAACCTTTGCGACCCGTTCCACCCAGTTTTGAATCTCGTTGGTGAGGTGCGGCACGATCTGAACTGTCTTTCCCAGGTAATCACCGCGACGCTCCTTCTCAATGACGTGTTGGTAGATCTTTCCAGTGGTGATGTTGTTATCCCGCCCGAGAGTGACTCCGAGGTAGCGCTCGTAGTTTCCGAGGTCGAGGTCGGCCTCACCTCCGTCATCGAGAACGAAACATTCTCCGTGTCTTTGATGCGTCAACGTCAATTCCAGAAATCAGGTGGGCATACTAGGTGAGACCAACTCTAGAGGGTTCATAAGACCGGCATCCGGATTGAGGTATGGATCAATCTTGATACTCGAGACGGCCAGACCGGCAGTCTTGAGCAGCAACCCGCAACTGCTTGCGATGATGCCTTTGCCGACGCCAGAAATGACACCTGCCAAGAATCAGCGAAAGCGTAATGGGAGAAAGACACGGAAAGATCATTACCTCCAGAGACCAGAACGTACTTCATCTTGGCTAATTGAGATCAGACAGTATTATTCAATGGTAGCCCTCCTGGTAAAAACCAGGGAAGGGGGGGAAGAGAAAAAGAGAGAAAGAAAGGTTGCGGCGGGTCCACTGCAGTCTATGAAAAAAAAAAAAAGTGGATAATATCACGTGCTCCGATCTCAGCAGCTTATCTTATCATCGATCTGGGGAACTCAACAGGCAACCATCGACGATCTTGCAGGCAACAGGAATTATGACTCATGATAGCACCCTCAAATTCCGAGAATATGGTGTTGTTCTCTGTGATAGCCTATCCGGATAGGGTCCTATTTGAATCAGATTCTGATTTATATCTCACGTGACCGAGCACTTTCTAGATAAAGTAGGCAAAATCTCATGCTTGACATCGAATACAGTTTGCATGCTAGGAATGATATGACCTTCTTTCCAGTCTATCTGCTTTTGGTACATGTGCAATGTAATCTGGTTCCTGTATGAACAAAAGAGAAGAAAAATTATGCGTGATCTTCGCCCGGCCAAACCAAACCCACGTGAATCAAGAAAGACGGTTGAGAAAATACAGAAACATAATATATTTTCAAGTCAACGCAGGAGACAAAAGAAAGCCAAATGATCGCTATGAAAAGAGGACAATGCAAATCATTGCTTCGATGGCTGGAGGAATTTGGGCCATTTATCGGCCTGAGGGATATAGACGCGACCAATGTTCTCGTCAAGGTCGAGGAGGAGCTTCAGAGCGTTCCTTGACCTCAGATAAGGGAGAGGCGCTTTGGCACTCTGTAACCCAACGCTGGGCTCAACTTGTCCCGAGGGAGAGACATCAGCGTGAGATCCGGGCATGGGAAGCCATTTCTGCAGCAGTTCATAGGCAGCCAGGGTGAAACCGAACTGCGGTGACGAACGAACGATACGAGCAGGACCACCCTTGAAGAAGGCCTTGAAACCTTCGTCCCTCCAGATCGTGGCGGCACAATGGCGCAAGCCATTGTAACGAACGTCTCCTTTGCGAGCTTCAACCTGCAGACGGGTCTTGATCACATCGCAGGGTGTGGTAAGATAAGCAGCCGGCATACCGGCAATGGCACCGGCAGTGAGCAGTTGCACAATGCCAAGTCTGTGTGTTTGAGACTCGCCGAAAAGGTCGCTCTTCAGATGGGCATAGGTGGGGAAGTAGATGGCAGAGAATGGAACTGGAGTCGGAAATCGTCAGAAAGCATTTTCACAAATGTAAAAGGAGCGCGTTGGTTCGTTCTTACCGTCACGGAGCAAGCAAGCGCTGGCACCCTTGTACAAGCCCACCAGACCCAGATTTTTCACAATCCACATGGCCGAGCGACGGGGGGCTCCCTCGACAGTCTTGGCAATCTCACCCTGAACCTGCAGGCGAATCTTGACAATCTCGAGGGGATTTGTGAAGATCTGAAAAGAGGCGAATTAGAACAGGCTTCCAGTGTGGGGAGATCTCAACAGAACTTACAACTTGGCAACCACCAGCAGTACCACCAGCAAGAATTTCATAGGGATACCAGATCTTGCCGTTTTCCTTGTTGGTGAAGTGGCCGCGGACGAGATCGTTCACTGTCAGCTTGATGGCCTTTTCCGGAGCAACACCGATCAACTGAGGCAGAACACCGGAATACAGGCCGAGGAAGCCCTCATTGCGAATGACTTTTCTGAAACAATCAAGCGAGTTGTTGTACAATCTTTCGCCAACACGCGTCGAACGTTGGTTCTGCATGCGTGTCTTGACCAGATCGATGGGGTAGACCATAAAGGCACCGAAAGCACCTGCAAGACTGCCAAGCGCGAAATGGTGGACTGATTCCAAAACGCTGTGCAACACCGACCGAGTCTTTTCAGCGGCGACTTGAGCGGTGGTTGTTGCAGTGGAGACCGCCTGTCCAGCCAGCGCCAAAGGCATACGCCAGGAGGCATCAATGACCTTGGCGAAATCCTTCTGGGATAGCCGGCCGGAAGGCGCATCGAGGCCAGCGAAGTGGAATAGGATATCTGCTTCCATTGGTGTGAAAAGGGAGAATCGGGTAATGCGAGCAGCTTCGTTGAGGAAATCGGCGCGCGTGATCTTGCCGTCTTCGCTCTTCTGGGTGGCTTCGCGGACAATAACGTCGATCATGTCCATTTCGCGCATGATATTCTGGAAAGCACGAACGGTAGCATAGGAGATCTTGGTGCCCGCTGAGATGTTGCACAGACTGGGAAGGTTCTCCAGGACATAATCCGACAGCTTGTGTTTCGAGGTCTCGAGGATGATCCGCTGGAAATCTTCAGGCTCGATGTAACCGTCACCATCCTTGTCGAAGATGTGGAAGGCTTGCCGAATGCGCTCGCCCTGCAATCCTCGGAGCATCTGAGCGAACTGGGGGTATGTCATGTCGTGCCGGGCCTTGCTCCGTCCGGAGTACAGGGAAGCCCATTCCGAATTCCAATCGAAAGGTATACTGTCACTGCTCTTGTTCATATTGTATATGTTCTTGAATGTCTCCCACTTGACCGTGCCCGTTCCATCCAGATCGAAGAGTCGGAAAGCAATCTCATATTCGGCATCGGGTTTGGTCAGGAGGTTTTCGAAGGTCGCCCAGTCACTGAGGGTGAGTTTACCGGCCCTTCGCTTGTCGGCGACTCTGAAGAGGAGTCCATAGTGTTCGCGCTTGATTTTGTGCTGTCAATTGCAAAAAGCGAGCTTGTTAGTCATATTTTGGAGACCAGCCGCGGAGGACCAGCGCGATGACACATCGCATAGTAGGCAAAGAATCAGAGGGAAAAACAGGCCGCAAAACTCACATAATCCTCATGCTTCGGCGCAATAGCATTGATAAAGTCATCCTCCGTCATATAAATCTCGCCAGTGCTTTCGTCTTTCCGTGCATGGTGGAAGAAATGATGCTTCACCTGTTGCGACAGCCGGGGCTCCTCTGAGCTGCCGAGCAACGACTCCTTCACAGCTTCTTTGACGGTCATTGTATCATGCAAATATCACACACAGATCACTGAGCCAATGCAACCAATTCGCCTCGACGATCCAAAATCCAAGAAGAAGCGAAAGATGAAGGGAGGTCTGAGAGACTCCAATGTGGGTAAGGACGGGGTTATGAAGGGGTTGGGACCAGACAATTGTGTGGAGAAACAGAATTACTAGGACAAAGAGGGAGAAGAGAAGGGCAAAAAGAAACGGGGAGCAAGATGACAACAGATTGGTCTGCCACTTATACAGTTGAAATAATAAATTATACAATGCAGATCCAAAGTGGTTCAAAATCCTTCTATCTTGTCTACGAAGAGATGTTTTATTTTCAATCTTGACTTTCTCTCATAAGCCGGCTAAAAAAAAGTTTTCCTGCAGAGGACGAGAGTCCTTAAGAATGAGGCGCGAATAGGAAAAAGCAAAAGGAAAAAATAGAAAAAGGAACAAATGCTTCACCGCCTCTGGAATGGGTAAATTACCCGGTGAGTGGTCGGACTTGGGACCGAACACCTTATACGGAGTAATGTATTGCCTCAGGCCATGAGCCCAGTCCTTCTCCGCAGTATGACTATGATCGTTGACCAGGCTTGGAATGTCCACAGTGTTCTTTGATCTTCTACCGCATGTCACACAGATCTATATCGGACCTTTTAAAGTGGCAGGAACATGTCTTCAACCTACGCAGCCATTCGCATGCCACGAGACAGGGGCAGAAATACTCCTGATGGCGAGCCACGGTAAACTCCGGAACGCACGATATCCACTGATTCGATGACCAGATCGGAGGCAGGTGACCCTAGAGAAAAACCCGCCAGAAGATCTCGCGACCGAGGGTGAGCTCGTACCAGTAACCGAGAAGAATGAACTATACTTAGGCCTGCATATATGATCTCTTGAATATGGAATATGCAAAGAATGATGTCTCGTACTCTACTCCGTACGGAGTAAAATCCATTCCAAGAATCAGCTTATCCCTTGTTTCTTCTACCTTGTTTCTGGAAGAAATGCACGGGATCAGAGCTCTTCACATGACACATTGACTTGTCTGACTAGCGCAATTAGATTCCAGCCCACACATTCGGCCCGATGTGGGAGTCGTGTCTTGGTCTCGTCTGAGTCGTCTCCGTCTTCGGTGTGGAGTAAGTTAGTGGTGCGGGTCCAGAGTTGGAGAATTTCCAATTCCAGGTCATGACTCTGTTGTACGGAGAAGAGTGGAATACGTCGTGTGATAAGATGCTAAGAAGTATCCCGTAAGGGCCGCGGAGTACGAAGCAAAAGCAAGTGCATTGTACATTTTATATGTCGACAACTTTCTCAAGCGAATAAGGGTTTGTCAACTTATCCAACCCCTGCTCGCGGTAGTTGGTTACTAGGCAAGGGTGTAGGACTATGCCCGCGCGGGATTTCCCCAAGAGAGCTCACCGGCCACCATGGCAGGGAGCGCTCGGTCGATTCGGTGCAGTTCTTCAGCATGGGTTCTTAAGTTCTTTGGATTTGATTATTAGATAAAGTAGTCCGGCTGCCGAAAATGTCTGATGGATCAGATGTCATCTGTGCTGTGGCATTCCATCTCCCAATGTCGAGAAGCAGTAGTCGGTAGTTGAGGTCTGCTAGGATTAATGATGTGCACTGCATAAAGACAGGGTGATTCATTAGTGGCATTGGCTTATCGATAACGTCACTATCAACACCTTATTCAACTGGAAGTTCATATTCTGTAGATTTTGCGCGTCGTTGTACACAAGCATCCTTTGATCTCGACTTTTGCAGCTAAGTGACTACTGATGTGTTTTAACACTGTATGGCTGTGATGCTTGAAGTGTCCGATGTCATTGTTGGCGTTGTCAGCCGGTTCCTAGAGTATGTATGTACAACATATATTCAACCTTCGTGGATCTCGAAATTGAAGATTAGACAATGGACTTCATTGAGGCTTTAGTCTGAAAATAATTTCAGAACGCGGCACATTCCTCTTGACTGACCTCTAATAATGTTGCCTAAGACATAAAGAAAGAATATAATCGACTGCCTCCGGACCACTATTGCTCCGGCTTCTCCATGCGGAGCAACTTGAACAGTACCCGCTCCACCGGCAACAAAACCAACATGGCATGATTGAATCTATACGCCGTCAAGGTCACGCAAACACCGACGAAGGCATCCAAAACAAAGTGGTTTGCCGTCGCGACAATTGTCACGCCCATCATCATGGGCCAGAGCGGCGCGACCACGCGAATGAACCAGTGTGGGCTGTATCGCAACAAGCACAGAGCAATGAAAACAGCGTTACCAAAATGCAGCGAAGGCATTGCCGCAATTGTGAGCTGGAACTTGTTTTGTGTCCAAGCGGATCCGGCACTGTTGTCATGCAGCATATCGACGAAGCCGTACTCCTCCGGCAGTAGTCGTGGCGGACTACATCGCCAAAGAGTGAGGATTATAAATGCTATCACATTTTCGAGAGCCAGAGTGCGGCGGACTCCTTGGTATTTTTCCCTTTGGAAAAAGGTATAGCCATAGACGAGGAAGATGACGCCCAATACAATGTGCGAGTAATATACTCTAGCGAGAACAGCCTTTAGCCAAGGCGCGCGATTGAGGACGAATCGTTGCACTCGTAGTTCGACGTCTATATGTAAGAAATGTTCTAGACTGAGGATCTGATGCGCATGGCGCTTAGCCGTCTCAAAAATGGCTTCGTTGTCGCTGATCGCTCGGGCAGAGATCGCGCGCAGTCCTTGGTAGATCTGGGCCACTGTCAGATGATCGCGTCACAGATCAAGAAAGAGAAACAGAATGATGCCGTACCCAATACGTAAGTAGCCAATACCATATCTCTATAAGAAACGGAAAACGGGCAAGAATTCGTGTTTGGATGTTGGGGCTCCCCTTGGATGATCTCCTTGGTTTTAGAGCTTCGCAGTCTTCATCCTGAAGCAACGGTGTCTCAACGCAGGGTGTCTCTGAGAACTTGATATCTTTGCGACGGTTGATGAGGGTGCCAGCGGTAAAAATAGCCACAATCGCTGTAGTCATAAATAGTCAGTCAATCCTGTCCGTTGTCATTGTCGGAGGTTGTAGCGATCGACTTACCGGCGGGCTCAAGAATAATTCCCAATACGCCCATGATGAAACTGCCGACTGCGATCCACGGTGGCTCGTTCAAGGATCATTAAGGGTGATCATTCCTAACAAAATATTTAAGTTGTAGATCCGTCGGCTCAGTGCGGATCAGGCAGTCTTGCACACAACAGTTGTGTGCTACCAATTGGCTATGGCTGACGTCACCTGCAGACCCGCTGCAAGCGATGGAGAGAAAGATGGAAAACCCAAGGATAAGGCTGGACGAACTGAACAGTACTAGGTAAAATGTTGTTCTGGACAGAATACAGGGCATAAATCAATGTGGCGGCAAGTCTGAACTCATGTGGCCGGGTACTCAGCTGCTGTTGATATGGGATATCTTCCACCATCTGCATTAAGAAAGTACCTACAATGACGCACCTTCAACTTTGTGTGATACCGTGACATTGTTTACTAAATTCCCCCAAGGGATAACCTGTACGTCTCGAATCCGACACCCTCTTAGCGTCGTCGTCGCATATCTACACCTTAGCTATCTTGTCGGCATGCTCGGCATATCTCACCCATTTTTGATGGCAGGTTTTTGGTCTCCTATATGGTTCTTCATAACATCCTTCTCTAGGCGTATTAGCTCAATCCTGCCCCTACGCAACCAGCCAGTCGTAGCAGCACCTGTTGAGGTGAGGCATATCCTGAATCTACCTCAGCGGAGCTTCTACTGAAGATTAAGCAGGAAGTATTGTCCCTGGATCTCGAGGAAAATGATTATCTCTATCGAATAAGGAGAAATTCAAGGATCGTATATGTTTCTATCCTTGATGGGGATATCATTCCTCGTGATTGCAGGACAGACGGCGATCGAGTTCTTCCAAAGCTGCAAAAACTTTTAAAGTGGGAGGAGGAATGGAAAACACTCACTGTTCGGAGAGGCTTCCAGGGTATTGAAAGCAATCTAGACGAATTTAAGCCACACGGGCTACATCTCGAACAACTTAGTATTCCTGGTGCCATCTTTCTCAATCTTTTAGACATGAGAAAGGTCTCTCGGATCAGTGATCGCATCTCCCGAGTAAACTATGACGGTGAAACGTGGATACTGAAGATTGCCCGATTCAGACACGAAATTCCGGCCCTGCAAGAAGAGGTTTCGATATATTCTACTCTAACAGCAAGCGCTTTTCCTCTCGCTCCGAAATTTATTGGCTTCGTCTATGAGGAAACAAAAGCACGAACAGTTGGCTTTCTAATGGAGGAAATTTTGGGGGAAACACCAGACATACATAATCTCAAAGATTGTGTGGAAACTGTTCGTCTGCTGCATACATTTGGAATTGTGCATGGGGACCTCAACAAGTACAACTTTCTGATGACGGAACACGGTGCGAAAATTTTCGATTTTGAGGCTTCTGCTGCTGAGGGAGAAGTGGACCCAACAGCAGCTGAGGAGGAATTAAAGGCTCTTGCAAGCAAGCTGGCAGATGAATCAGGCATTGGCAAACGTTAAGTCGCTCATCTGACTGCCTATTGAGGCGCCCTTATGATTAAGAGACAACCCACTTTCTTGCTTCCCTAGTCTTTCAGGCGCTCTGCAGACACGTCCTGCATTAGTATTGATATAGCAATCTTACACACAGTATTTGTGTGCCACTAATTGAGTATAACTCCAGACCCGTTCCATGGAGGAAGAGATACATGCATACAAGGTGAAGCTGGATGGTCATACAGAGCTTCAGCACCAGGCAAAATATTGTTCTGCGCAAAATACAATGAACGAGGATTATAAATCAAAGTGATAGCAAGCCTGAGCGCAAGTCTTTGCTGCTATTGATATGGATGTCGTCCTCTATCTGCTTTAAGCATACCTATAATGTACCTTTAACCTTGTGTGATAATGTGACAATGATCAATGGTGTAACAAATTCCTCCCCCCTACAAAGACACTCATATCATGAGCTTTTTCAACGACTGCCGCTTTCTGCTCAGTAAGCAGGAGTGGTCAACCCACCCGTAGACAAGATAGATAGAAGCGAAAAGTCGACCACTGGACGAAGAATGAACATTGAATCGTCAGTTTGTCAGTCTTCCCTTTCTAAGATTCCGATTGCTGTCTCTCTTACTTTCGGGGGACGGGTCTAACAAGAGCCATTGACTCCTACCAAATACTTTCTTGTCTCATCGTGCCTTTCTCATTGGCACGGAGGATACTGCCGAATCTGTACTTGGGATGCCACTGACGAAACTCAATATTACGATCCAGTCGTATATTCCTGAGATGTCGGCCACCGAGATGGTCAACAAATGTCAGTATTGAGCTCACAACTCTAGGTTCACACTGCAGTGTGATGATTATGCCAAAGATGTGAGAGTGATGAGCACAGAGAGACGTATCTAAGTGAAGAGAACACCATGGCTGCAGACAGATTGTGACTGTGGTGCATGACCGTCCGGTTTCTGCGATCATTGGTAACTAGAGTGGCACCCAACTTTACCTTCCATCTTCTGTCTAAAGAGACGGGCTTTCGAACCCCTAAGTCAAATATGCATTAGTACATAACTAGCGGCTCTGTATCTAACGAGTAACAATACGTGACTTTAGGATTGATACTATAATTGTGGTATATATTAGTTTGTGCCTGAAATTTTTGAGTATTACAGAGTTCGAAATCGACTTCGAGCATATACTGGTATTTCACAGCCCCATTGCCATGACTTCGTAGATTATTGGGGACTGGCTCTTAATAAAAGCTGTTGGGTCTAAACAGTTACAATTGTTGTGGTGGTGGTGGCCGGGTCCTATACTTCTGGCATTTTTTCGAACTAAACTAATTCTAATTTGCGAACATATTCAGGACAAACTGAAGGTGCAGCAATACTTATCAATATTCAACTGCCCCAGGCAGTGAAAATCTTCCCATGTCACTCCCAAGGTTCTGCCGCAAGAACCAGTCAATCACTTTAGTGCCCTGAAATGAGTTTAGCTGCTCTGCTAGACCTTCTTAGTTGAAGATGATCGGAAATAATAAAGAATTGGAATCAGATCAATCTCTCAATCTACTAAATGGAGTTCCACCTCTGTAAACTAAACGTAATATTGGGCTGTTGACGGTGGCAACCCATAATGTCTGCTTGAGCAGCTGGATGTTTTCCATAGATAGAGACATTGACCTTCGCCCATCTGATGTCTCAAAATATACATCTCCATCACAGACATAGCAGACAAACATCCCATAGATACTTCGTTGAGCCCAAATTTTGCCCAACATTAAGGCAGCATCAGCATGCATATTGAAGATGGGAGAAAGGAAATCATCATATTTCCACAGGAGAGCTTCTATCTTGGACGCCACTTCCCAGTCTCCTTTATCTAATCGGCACATGATCGCCCGGAGGATCTCGGCCGGCCAGGGAGATTGTTTGCCTAGGGCCTCAATAGCTGCCCGCCGCACCTGTTTGTCTTTGTCGTTTAATCGGCACACGACCGCCTCGACAATCTCAGGAGGCCAGGAAGCTTGTGTGCCTAGGGTCTGAATAGCTGCTACCCTCACATCTTCATCATTGTCGTCTAACCGGCATACAACAGCCTCGAAGATCTCGGGCGACCAGGGACACTGTGTGTCTAAGGCCTTAGTAGCTGCCCATCGCACACGGTTGTCATCGTTGCCCAATTGGCACATGATACCCTGAAGGATTTCGGGCGACCAGGGAGCTTGTCTGCCAAATGCAAGAGCAGCTAGTGCCCTAACAACCAAGTCGTTATCTTCTAATCGGCATATGACTGCCTTGCTAATCTGAGGTGGCCATGGAGAATGTCTGCCTAAGGCCTGAACAGCTGCTGCCCTCACATCCGCGTTGTCGTCACCCAATCGGCATCTGACTGCCTGGAGGATTTCGGGCGGCCAGGGAGTTTGCCCTCCTAAGGCCTGAACAGCTGCCGTCCTCATACTCGCGTTGTCGTCAACTAATCTGCATGTGACTGCTTGCATGATTTCAGGCGGCCAGGGAGATTGCCCTCCTAGGGCGTGAACAGCTGCCTCCCTCACAAGAGAGTTGTCATTGCCTAATTGGCACATGACCGCTTGCAGGATTTCGGGAGGCTGTCTGCGTAAGGCTTGAGCAGCTGCCCACCTCACAAGCCCATCGTCGTCATTGAATCGGTACACGACCTTTTCGAGGACACTGGGCGGCCAGGGCGATTGTGTGCCTAACGCCTGAACAGCTGCCCGCCTCACATCCGCGTCGTCGTCCTCCATAGAATTTGCGGTTATAGCCATGAGCTTGGTCGACATATGCCAACGATGGGCTAACGCTGTTAGAATCTTTTCTCTGTGGGATGTTTCCCTTTGCAAGAAATTGTTCTCAAGCAATTTACACAGAATATCTTCTGGAAATTCAATCTCACTGCAGAGGCACATTTTCTCAAGATATTTGTCCTCATAGTCATACCATTGTAGGCATCCAAGTTCCATTTTTCCTCGAAGGCGTCGTAAGAAATTATTTTCACTCCCTGCTAGTTCCGAGTCTTCTGGCTGTGAGTATTTTGGCTGAGGTATCTCGCTAAAACAGTGCATAAGCAGTCGCTGATGTGCTGGGCCGAGTAAATCCCGTGGCTCCTGCTCAATATGTTCAAGGAATGAGGTTGCTCTTCATCAATTTCATGCAGCAGCCCTGTGACAAACCTCCAGAATACATCATAGCGTCCACCATACTTTTCCTTTTCAATAAATTTTTCCGGTAGTATTCTGATTGTTTCTTTTCCGTTCAAGAAGTCGCGCTTGAGGAAGAGAAGGGATTCACTGGATTTAGATACCCAGCACCTGACAAAGTATTGAGCAGCGAAAAATTCTTGGAAAGTAAGATGTGAGAAATGATAACTCTTCTCTTGGTTCAAAGTATCTGATGTGCGCACAAAGGAGAGTTGGTCAAGGACATCATCTGACATCTGGCAAAATTGGGGTTGTTCGTATAGCCAATCGCGATGGCCCTGATGAAATTCAGTAACGTCGCTGTATAGCCCTGTAAAAGCAAGGTGTTCCAGTAATCTCATCTCAATCTCCACCAAGGACTGAATTTGCATGCGTGTTCGAAGGTTCTGGACCACGATTTCACTTAAGCGCCCTGCATTATTTCTCTTCTCCAAGTTCAAGATGTCCTTCTTCCACAACTGTAATTCAATGGCCTGGTATATTCCTGTCATGGTATGTGGTAAAGTACCTGAATGGAAGTTATTCTTATTCCAACCAGAGCACAATGCATCAAGCTGTATTGGTATTCGGACAAGTCCCTGGATTAGCCAGTGGCTCTGAATAAAGGAACGGATTTGATCAGTAATATCTGGATCCTTTACAGTATTGGCCAAGTAAGTTTGCACTTCACTTGGACGAAATCCGACAGCCTCCAACTCTAGGTCAAAGGGAGCAAGACCAGAAACGTTCACAGAGTATGGCCGGGATGAAATAATCACATTGTCTTGATTCAAGAGGCTGTTGAATATCTCAGTCAAGTCAGTTCCAGAAGAATGGCGATATCCTGATATTTCATCGAGGCCGTCCAATAACCAGAGAGTTCTCTTATGGGTTTGATCGAACACCGTTTTCCAGAGCTTAGAAACTAACTCATCACGCTCAGCTTGAAAAGAAAAGTAGTCCCAGCGGAAGAATTCGTCCAGGCTTGATATGCCCTTGAGCCTCCGCAAAGGTATCCATATAACGCGGTCAAAAAGGGTTGACCACATCTGTTGGTAATAAAAGTCATGCACAATCTTCTTGCAGAGTGTTGTTTTCCCAACGCCGGCTCGTCCTCGAATTAAAATCCGTCTCGGCTAAATCACTTGGCCATTGGGAAGTTTTCGGTCACAAAATAGGTCTGGAAGTGTGGCTTCCCTTTCAGGAGTGTCTGCTGCTAATTTTAGGCGATTAAATAGTGAAAACCCCGAGGATGGCAGTTTCGCGTGCAACTTCATATCCTGGTTCTTGTTTTTATATTCTATTATTGAAAGATTGATGTAGCATTGCGCCATATCCAGAATTTCTCCAGAGAGGCGCTTAATCCTCAGACGATTGTTCATGTCATAGTATTCTCGTAATTTGGTGTCAACTAGTTTATCACTTAGCAGAGTCCTATGTGCCAATTCTGGCAAGGGAATCAAGATATCATACTACTGATCACAGGGGATCCTGGTATTCCTGATAGGAACACTTTTGCATAAGAAGCAGCAACAAGAGCTGCATACCCTTGCCACTCTTTGTTCTTATGGGAGTCGCAATAATCGCATATCCCTCGGATCACAAGTGTCGGAAGCTCATCCATAAGGCCTGCAGCCTCCATCTCAAAGCAAAGTATCCCATGTTGTTGAGCTAGACGGTCTCGCAATTCTGAGTCCTTCATCACCTGATCTGCGGAGGCAATCAACCCATAGTGGATATAAGGCGCCCTTGTATCACGCGGTGGTCGTTTGACTAACTGCTCTTTATCGCACTTTTCGCAAGTGTCCTCCTCGTTAACATGGCGGTAGGAGGAACGGAAAAGAAAATCTGCGTGCCCTCTGGGGGGAGAAAATCCGTCCTTCAAGCTGAGGTTTCGTTCTACTACTTCCTCCAGTGTTTTTGAGATAGCGTCGTCCGTCCCAGTCATCTGTCTTGCTTTAAACCGGGTCATGTGCCTCAGAAGAATCTGCGGTGGCCTGTTCAAGATGCCTGTTTGCTCGAATTTTCCGCCGTGAACCGACTTGTCATAATCGTACTGTATGACCCCATTATGATTTGGACCGGGTTTACTGACAACGACATCGCCTAATCGAATGTCATTTTTTCCTTCCGGGACTCCTCCTCCAATACCCACCATCACTCCAAACTCAAGTCGACGAAAGGTTGAACGCATGCGAGACACGACGGCCGCCGCAGAGACTTTTCCGTATACGCCATCTGGAAGGTGGACAATGACTATGTAATGCCCGCTTAGTTCACCAAATTCATAGGCGTTGGGATCGGTAGTAGGCCATCGGGGTGGGGTGTGGGTCTTGTCGAGCATGGCGCGGGCCGCTGCCGCTTCCAGAGGCAACGCACAGATCCACGCGATTGTGTAGTCATCAGGCGCGAGGGAGGCCGTCATTGATATCAGAGGGACTGGAGGGATTTATGCCCTAGATTGGTTGAAAATTTACGTCGCAGGTGTAGAGGTAATAGTAAATGAAGAAATGATCTTGTGCCGCGCCTACAATTCCATCACATGACAGTCACATGATCATACGACCCTCTGATTTCATTTTTTCTAATTGTCCTCTTCAAGCCATTGATGTGAGAACCCGTGCATGCTGAATCCAAAAGAGTACGACGATTCAGCATTCAAGAGCATCCAGACCGTGTAGGATGTGTAGTTCAAGAACAAGGGAGTTTGACATTTGAAGCAAAAGAATGGTAATCTCAATATCTTTGCACTAGCATGCGATGACATGTGAGCTATCAACATGGCTGATAATCACACCTGTAGCCCTGCAGAAACGCAATATTGACCTCTATTCAATGCATGCTCATATCTCCTCCACCAGTATGCCTGCATTTTGAAAGTGATACTTGGCACTTTCCTTCCTTGTACCAACATGAACGATCAGGATCTTCCTCATGTGCTGGCCAAGCTTTCTTGATGTAGGCTTTCAACTCAGCAAAGAATTCCTTAATAGGATTGAAACCTGGTGAGTAAGGTGGCAAGTACAGTAGCTTGACTCCCGCATCAGAACACAACTACTTGACGTGCTCTGAGTGATGGAAACATGTATTATCCATGATGAGCACAGATTTTGGCTCTAGCCATCTGCTGTAATGCTAGAGAAGCTACTAAATAAAATCTTTAAAGAATGTGGTATCAGTTTGAACCTTTCAAGGTATAAGATATCATGATGCCATTTTGAGCATATACAGGTAGAATCTAGTAGCATTCTCCCTGATAAAATTTAGATATTTAGACTGGCGTCACCCTAATCAGAGCCTAACTAGTCTATCTAAATCCTATCCACTTGTTACAGCCGGACTTGTTAACAAAGACTAAATGATATGAGTGAAACTTAGATAATTTATGTTAATAGAAATCTTGCAGCTGAGGGCTTTATTCTTTCTTTTTTGCTGATATTTCTTTTTTATCTAGCCTTCCTAGGAAAGTGCTTATTGGGTGGTTAATGATGATGGTAGTATATTAAATTCATCCCATAGCAAGACGGCCATTTCTTCAATGTACAGACCTAGTTTTTTAGTTAGATGGTCGCAAAGGGCGTCAGCCATTGAGGGGGTGATGCTTAGTGCCTGGCCAGTGCAGATCTGGGGGGATCAAGCAGTGCCGAACTGCCGCATGTTCTTGTGGATATCTATGATAGAATGCTGGGAACATCTTGCAAGCATGGCCATTTGTGATGTAGTTAGTTTTTTCTTGCTATATATTATATGGTCGATTATTATATGCTGCCAGGACTCAAGGTGGTGTGCTATTTTATGGTGTTCCGATATGTTAATGGCGCCTTGGTTGAGGTTGAGGTACTGAAGTTGATGGGACATGTGTACCTTTAGGACTGTCATAATACAGCTTACTGAGGTACTCCATTGTCCTATGCCATATAATACAGTATTAAACAGAAAATGGTATCTTAGCTTAACCATATATGGATAATATGTCTTGGTGTATTAGGGTTTGGAAATGAGTTTGCATGTAATGGACAAGGAAGGTGAAGCTGTATACCATCAGGCTTTCCAGTAGCTTTCCAGTGGCTCAAGAGGTGTATCCCACAACGACCAATAGTCTGGCTAGTCAGTATGTCGAGTCTCAACGAAGGTTGATTCAACCGAGTCAGCGATCCCATGGCCGAGAGGAGCACTTCTGAGGGCGTCCTAGCTGCAATTCTTCTGGGAGTAGCAGCTCATACGGTCGAGGCCCTTGGGGCAAGGGTCATGGCTCCTTGTCGGCCAAACAACATTGTCATTCATAGACTCGATTTCTGCAGGGATCTAAATTAAGTATCACTCAAGCAAGGATCAAGCATCCGGCTATAATCTCGCCCTATAGACTTACCTCTGCCGAAGTGCTGAGCTCAGGTCGACGAGAGAGACTGCTAATTCGTCAGGTTGAAATCCTTCAGAGCATTTCCACCGTCGCTGTCAGTCCATGATTCGTTACTATAATGCGACTAATCACAACCCAAGTGTGATAGACTCTGTTCGCGTGCGTTGGCTGCAGGTGTCTGGCGCTTAGGATGATGATGTGGTGGTGATCATTGGCTGCCGGCAGTCAACATCCCAACCCCCTCGTCACCTTTTTTGCTCTTCTCTTTTCCCCTCTTTTCTCCTCCGTCCCAATCTCATGTCCTTGCTAGACAGTGGGCGACTATATAGCCGCGCAGAACCCCTGGGTTGCTGCGAGTCTCTCTCTCCCTCAGACACTTTCCGTCTCAGTTTGTCGTTTTTGTCCTTTTTGTTCTATTTTCGTCCCACAAGGGGTTTGTTTGGCTGGTCCAAACATTATTTACTATCTTTTGCCTTCTTGTTTTGGATCTACACTTCATCAATAATAGTCACCTTTTACATACTTGCATCTTGCGAAGACTTTGTTGATCAAAGTCTTCACCTCAAGTTGCGCATCTCTCTCTCAGAGCGTTCAACAATACTCCGTCACGACTCAACAATCACCATCTGTTAATCTTTCACCTCACACTACCGTCAATATGAGGCCCAAGCTGTATGTCGTCACTTCGACCGCGCAGAGCCTTACTCGTCCTTCATTATCGCTTAAGTCTCCTGGTCCTTTCCCCCGCACACCAAACTCGCCGGTTCCCCCAAGCCCGGGCGGAAAGCGTTTCTCGAGTATTCAAGCGCAATCATACAGTTACACCAATTCGTGTAAATCAAAGAGCATTCTCAAGAAGCAACCCATGGCCAGTGCAACCAGCCACGCAGAGAAGCGAATCCAGTTCCAGGCTACTCCTACAGTACACTGCGTGACGCCAATCGAGAACCCTGAGGAGTATTACGGCGCCTACACGAAACTGTCAAAAGAAGAGCGACGCTGGATAATGCGTGAATGAGAGGTCCAACCGACATGATACGGTGTCTACCTCGACACCAGACCCGCCAAAGCCCAGACCTAAGGTCGAGAATTGGGTTCTGGAGACTGCATGTTTTCTGGCGTCTGCGCCCGGCTACGACTTTGCGATCGTCGCGAGAATCCAGGATTTTGCACTGTCGGTGCAACGCTCCGATTCCGATGATTGTTAATCGGATGTGATCTCAGTGAGAGAGCAACCTGTGAAACAGTGTGTATATAGATGCTATTATGGCTTATGACGTGATGATACGATCCAAATGCATTCTTTATGACTGAAGCGATAGTTGTAAACAAACTATGGTGGAGTGAAGATTGTAGGACGTAGAGCGAGATAGGTAGCCATTATTACTCTATGTCCTACAGCCTCAGAGCATGCTTAACACCACCTAAGCTGATAGCAGCACAATGTATCTAGTAGATACCGTCTCTGTTGCTGGGTTGATACCGGTTTAGGGCTGTATTCCAGGGCTTCGATGGTCCGTGCGGGTTCCGCAGGAATGTTTTTCGCAGCGCAACCTAATGCCATGCTAAACCGAAGGACCACTTTCAATAATTCTCTCAATGCTGATTTCGAGATCTGCATCTGCTCTCCTCCGTGGGAGAATATGCAGTCCTTCAAAAGTGATCCAGAGAGCCCGGAATCGAGGACTCCTCACCCTCGCCATTGAAACGTCATGGTAAGTCTTTTTGCTACCGTCGGACTACATCACCAGTCTGGATTTCGCTCATTTTTGTCCTCCTTATAGTGACGACACGTCAGTTGCGATTGTGGAGAAAAATGATCGATGCCGTGATGTCTCTGCGAGAATTCATTTTCTCGAGAATGTGACGGCAGATACCAGGGAATATCGAGGCATCCACCCAATTCTAGCACTTGAATCGCATCAAGAGAATCTGGCCAAACTCGTCGATAAGGCGCTCACGCACTTACCATCAGTATCAGAAGACGGCGAGGATACGTCGAAATTAATGAAACTGTCAGATGGCTCTCAACGGCGCAAGCCGGATTTCGTCTCGGCCACCCGCGGGCCCGGGATGCGCGCGAACCTCTTCACTGGACTCGATACAGCCAAAGGCCTGTCCGTCGCATGGCAGGTCCCATTTGTCGGCGTCCATCATATGCAAGCTCATCTCCTGACTCCTCGACTTGTTTCCGCCATGAACCGAGCGCGACAGGGCACCGATGTTGCCTCTACCAACCCACCTCTAACCCCCGAGTTTCCCTTCCTCTCTATACTGGTCTCCGGCGGCCATTCAATGCTTGTCGAGTCCACCTCTATCACAGACCATACCATAATGGCGTCGACTGCGGATATCGCGATCGGCGAATCTCTCGATAAAGCTGCGCGAGAAATTCTCGCACCCTCTGTCCTCAACGAAGCCAAAACTACAATGTACGGCAAACTGCTGGAACAGTTTGCCTTTCCCAACGGCAGCGCAGATTGGAGCAGCTACTGTGCCCCCAAGACCCGAGGCGAGGAGCTGATCAAGCAGCCAAGCCCGTGGGGTTGGACCCTCACGTCTCCCTTCGCCAATACCCGGCAGCTGCAGTTCAGCTTCTCATTTCTGCCGAGCATGATCAACAAATTGATGGGAGCGAAGAAGACAGCAGGCAAGGATGTCTCGGATGAAGAGCGAGTTGCTCTGGCCCGTGAGGCGATGCGCGTCTGCTTTGAGCATCTCGGTTCGCGGACGATCATCGCTCTTGAGGAGCTGCAGCAGAAAGCGCGGAACAAGGGTGTCCCAGATGTCAAAACGCTCGTTATTAGCGGTGGAGTCGCAGCTAATAGGTTTCTGATGGCTGTGCTGCGGTCGTTCCTTGATGTCCGCGGGTTCGGACATGTTGAGATTGTTGCGCCGCCGCCGTATTTATGTACGGACAATGCGGCCATGATCGGGTGGGCTGGGATTGAGATGTTCGAGGCAGGCTTCAGCACGGATCTCGGTGGTAGGGCTCTTAGGAAGTGGGCTCTTGATCCGCGTGCTGAGGATGGTGGTCTTTTGGGCGCTGACGGGTGGATGATAAA